TGGAGGGTTTTCCCAGCCAACAACAAGGAGCCCAGGCCAGCTCCTTAGTAGCCTAGTTTTTCTCTGACTTTAGACAAGCCAATTGATAATTCTCTCATGTCTTCCTGCCTCCTGTGTTTTAGGGATTGTAGCATAGCCTGTTCCAGGAAATACTTTCCAGGTGATTTAATGGATTTTGTCTGAACCTGAAATCGGGTTTAACTGATGGAGGTGGAGGACAGAGAAAATTCTGGTCCTTCTTCAAAGAAAACAGTAAGCACTGCTTGGTTTAAACCAGGCTTCATTTAATGATCACAGGCCCTGACTCCTGCCAAATCTTTCACCTGCACAGTTAGGGCAGCTTTGATCACCTGGGGTCATCCTGCTGAGAAGAATTTATTTGTTGGAATTCTTCAACACAAACACTGAGAACCTCTGGTGCACAGTTGTGAATGAGTCATGCAGAGTGTTTTATCTGTTCCCACCTAGGGGTTGGATCTGGAGTGTGAGGAAGAACTTTCTGGAATTTTAGTAGAAAGGGCATTGGTAACTCACAGCAAGAACTTTGTTCCTGTCTAGATCCCCACAGCGTCTACATGAAAAATGTACATAATGAAAGGAATCATCTCAAATCATGCTGGAAGCCCAGACTTTGACTTAAAAAAAAAAAAAGATTTATTTATTTGAAAGGCAACATGGCAGAGAGGGATTCTGTCCTTTGGTTCAATTAACAAATGGCCGCAACAGCCAGGACCAGGAACTGAACTCCATCTGTGTCTGCCAGCTGGGAAACGGGGGTCCAACCACTTGGACCATTTGCTGCTGCTTTTCCAGGCTCATTGGCAGGAAGCTGGATCAGAAGTCAGACAGCCAGGCTTGACCTGGTGCCATGACAGGAAGCTGGAGGCCAGGCAATGCTTTGGCTATCTGTGCCACTAGAGTACTCCTCTCCCCCTACCAAACTTTGACTTTTAACCAGTAAGTAGGAAAATTTTAAGTTTGCCATAACTAAGGGGACTTGTAATCATTTCCTTTTTTTGAAAAAGGAAATGTATGTATGTATTTGAGGAGTATCAGGGAAAGAGAAACAGATTTTCCATCTACTGGTTCACTCCCCAAATGGCTACAACCTCTCTTACTGGATCAGGTTAAAGAGAAGAGCCGGGAACTCCATCCTGGCTCCCGTGTGGGTGTCAGGAGCCCCACATGAGCCACCACCTGCTGCCTTCACAGCGCCTTGCTAGAAAGCCAGGGCAGCAGCCATGCAGCAGGGACTGGAACTTGCTGTTGGATGTGGGATGCGAGCATACCAAACCGCAGTGCATGTTCACTTTTTATTCATTTATGACTCAAAGATGAAGGCTTTTTGATACTTTTTGATGTACTGTCAAATGCTCTTCTGAGTGGTTTAAAATTTTAGCTTGAAGCAATGGTTTCTTTAAAAAGTACACTTTGGGCCCAGCGTGATAGCCTAGTGGCTGAGGTCCTTGTCTTACATGTGCCAGGATCCCATGTGGCACCAGTTCATGTCCTGGTTGCTCCACTTCCCTTCCAGTTCCCTATTGTGGCCTGGGAAGGCAGTCGAGGGCAGCCCAAGGCTTTGGGATCTTGCCACCCTCATGGGAGACCTGGAAGAAGCTCCTGCTCCTGACTTTAGATCGACTCAGCTCTGGCCTATGCAGCCACTTGGGGAGTGAACCAGCAGAGGGAAGATCTTCCTCTCTGTCTCTCCTTCTCTGTATAGGTATAACTGTCCAATAAAAAGATGAGTAAGTCTTTAAAAAAAAGTGTGCCTTGGAAAGTGTTACTGTGGTCTTTGAATTCTAGAAAGGAAAGGTCTGCTGCAGAAAGGACCAGGGCCAGAGGGGACCCTGGGGGAGGCATGGACACAGGATCCAGTCACTCTGTGTGACTGGCAGCAAGACAAATGCCAGCAAGCTCTTCACTTTCCTAATTCAGACTAAATAAACTCTGAATTAGACATACAGCCTAGGAAATACAGTTGATCCAGCTTTCCTTAAGAAAAGGGTGTTGTCTCCCAGAGCTTACTTCTGCTGCTACTTTCGTGGTGCCCTGCAGTATGAGCTTCTTGTATGTGCTGTGAATTGACCAGTGAACACACCAGTTATAGAATTCCTGATTCACCTTGCAGCTTCCTTTAATATTGTACTGCCCTACTTCCTTTCCTCTCTGATTCTTTTTTTAAAAATTTATTTATTTTTATTACAAAGTCAGATATACATAGAGAGAGGAGGAGAAACAGAGAGGAGGAAGATCTTCCGTCCTCTGATTCACTCCCCAAGTGGCCGCAACGGCCGATTCTGCACTGATCCGAAGCTGGGACCCAGGTCTCCCATGTGGGTGCAGGGTCCCAAAGCTTTGAGCTGTCCTCAACTGCTTTCCCAGGCCACAAGCAGGGAGCTGGATTAGGAAGTGTAGTCGCCGGGATAGAACCAGTGTCCTTATGGGATCCTAGCGCATTCAAGGTGAGGATTTTGAGGATTAATTTTTGTTGCAAAGTCAGATATACAGAAAGGAAGAGAGACAGAGAGGAAGACCCATCCATTGATTGACTCCCCAAGTGGCCACAATGGCCAGAGCTGTACTGATCTCCCTTGCTGGTGCAGGCTCCTAAGGCTTTGGACCGTCCTTGACTATTTTCCTAGGCCACAAGCGGGAAGCTGGATGTGAAGCAGGGCTACCGGGATTAGAACCGATGTCCATATGGGATCCTGGCACGTGCAAGGCAAGGACTTAGCCACTAGGCTATCACGCTGGGCCCAATAGTGATTTTTTTAATGATGCATTTATTTAATTATTGGTAAGAAAGACTTGCAGAGAGAGAGCATGAGTAATGAGGAAAGAAAAATTCTTCATGATTTGGTTTACTCCCCAAATAGCTGCAATGGCCAGGCGGGGCTGAAGCCAAGAGCCGGGAGCTCCATGTAGGTCTCTCCCCTGGATGATAGAGACCCAAGGACTTGGGCCATCTCCCTCTGCTTTCCTAGGCACATTCTCAGGGAGTCAGATTGGGAGTAGAGCAGTTGGGACTTGAACTGGTGCTCATATGGGGTGCCAGCATTGGAGATAGCAACTTAACATGCTGTGCCACAAAACCAGCCCCCAGCAGTGATTTTTAAACATATGTCATTCCCGTTGGTGTTTGTTGTTTTCCAGTCCACTACTCAACCAAAGCCAAAGGGGGTTGATGGACATCTGTGAAAAATAATTATCTTTGCCATCCAGTGAAAAATTATTACTGTGACTAGTTGACCAGTGGAAACCTGCACTGGGGAAATCTGACTCCAACCCTAGTAGTACCGTACGTCTCTCTATTTGGCTGTGTGTTCCAGGAGTAGCTGTTTGTAGAATGGGCTGATTTGGGCTCATGTTTACTTGAAATTGAATGGTGGCCAGTAAGTCTTATACGTTCACATTATCTGCAGTTTCTTGATGATATGTCAGTAGAAGATACTGACAGTGGTGTTGGCATAAATGCTTAGTTGATAGTCGCCGCACCCACCTAGGTCATAGATAACACCCTGAAAATAATACACATAGGGCATTTTCCTAGTTTTTCTAGGTCTCATGAAGAAAACCGTAATTTCCTTTTCCTCTTGTCAAAATTTTGGAATTAATTTCCTGAGAGGCATTCTAAGTTGGCATTCTAATATTTTATTCTAAGCCTTTAGAGTTGGTTAAAACTAAAACAAGTAGACATCTATTGCAGTCTTGCGTTGCACTGTGTCAGTAGCACCAGGCGGACTGTAAACATAAGACCAGGAAACAAAGCAGACTGAAGCGTAAATTAACTCCTTGAAAGAAACCCAAGTCCGTTCATGATGTGCTGATGAGATGACCTTGAGATTAATCAGAGCTGTTTGATTTGGGGATGAGGAGGGGCACCCTAGAGTTTCAATATTAATCCTGCTAATGACAAATAGCAAAATTAAATGGGTTGATGGCCACTGTCATTGGAAACTGTGGTACTTTTCAAAACGCTCAGTAGTAGTTTCCTGGGCTAACCACACATTGCACATGTCACATCTAAAGCATTTTAGAAGCTGGATGAGGGGCATCACTGGCCAGCAGGTTTTCAAGGTAGCGTACACCCCCTAACTGCCATGCCACCATTCTAGGGAACAGAACTGGGTAGCCAGCAGCTTTGTCGATGGCGTTTCCATTGCCCGTGGCCAATGGCAGCCCTGGCAGTGGGGCACTGCGGCCTGGGAGGGGCCACTGAAGGGGTCTGCTGTGCTCCAGTCTTTCATCTTGGAAAGAAGTTTCTTGTCTCTGACTAATTGCACTGCAGTTGGCAGAGAGTCCTATGGTTTTTAAAAGAGTTTGTTCATGCTTGAGGACTCTCCCTGTTACAGTTGAGGGACATAAATAAACCTGTTACCAAGCCTCAGTGGTTGGCTAGGAAATATCTCTGAAGATTATATAACAGCAACATAATTTCTTTCACTCTAGAAGGTATTTGGACAGTTTCTTATGATTTGAGTCCTAGCTTACTTTCTTTCCCCCCCTAATTTGAGAGTGACAACAGGATTGAGAGCTCCTGTGCATTGATGTGCTGCCCCAAATAACCGTAGCAATCAGGATTAGACTAGTCTGGTGCCAGGAAACAGAAACTGAACTGGGTCTAACCCATGGGTGGCAGGGACCCAACAACGGGAGCCAGGATCTGATCGCAGCACTCTTGAGTCAAGATGGAGGGGTCCTAGCCAGTGACGAAACAGTTGCCCTTTAAATTAAAAAAAGAGTTAGCATTTAGTCACCTCATTAAAAAAAAAAAAAGACAAGGAAGAATCTGGATTTAAGAAGGCCAGGTACCCATTGCCACAACAAAAATGGTTCTTTGATGATTATTTAGGTGAGAAGTATCCCTCAGAAGGACTTGTTACTCTTGAAATATTCCTTCCTATTGGCTGTGGCTGAATTCCTTAGGATTCCCATCTGTGACGGTGCAGTATTTAGACCTGACTTTGGTTCTTCTGTTTGTTGCAGAAGCCTCCCCAGCTTTCCGAGGATGGCATCCGGCTAGAAAACGAGAGGGACGACAGTAGTGCCAAAGCCTTGCAGCCTACTGCCAGCACCCTCCTGCCAGACCACAGCAACATGGAAATTGAGGTGTCAGTTGCAGAATGTAAAGGCGTTGCTGGCGTTACTTCCACTCCCCATTCTGCAGATCACCCATCTCCCTTCTGCTCGCCACCCCACAATGGTCTCCTCACCAACCATCACGAGTCCCTGGATAACGACGTGGCCCGAGAGATCCGCTATCTAGACGAGGTGCTGGAGGCCAATTGCTGCGAGTCGGCTGTGGATGGGGCATACAACGGGACATCCTCCCCAGAGCCAGGCGCAGGGATCCCGCAGAGCCACCTGAGCCCCCCAGGCCACGCGGCCAGCCAGCCAGAACCCATGCAGAGAGCAGCCAGCAGGCAGGTGCTGACACACGCTGCAGACACCATGGCAGAGGGAGAGAGAGCGAACGGCCACCACCCTGAGCAGCCCAGAGACATGCCAGGGGACAGTCCACAGGCCCCTGTGAGCCCCAGCTCCTCCACCAGCTCCCAACCTGCTCCACGCGATGGGGAGCTGACGCTGACCACGCTGAAAAAGGAGGCCAAGTTTGAGTTGCGTGCCTTCCACGAGGACAAGAAGCCCTCCAGGCTCTTCGAGGAGGATGAGCGTGAGAAGGAGCAGTACTGCGTCCGGAAGGTGCGGCCGTCCGAGGAGATGCTCGAGCTGGAGAAGGAGAGGCGGGAGCTCATCCGGAGTCAGGCGGTGAAGAAGAATCCCGGCATTGCGGCCAAGTGGTGGAACCCGCCCCAAGAGAAGACCATCGAGGAGCAGCTGGACGAGGAACATCTGGAGTCGCACAAGAAGTACAAGGAGCGCAAGGAACGGCAGGCGCAGCAGCAGCAGCAGTTGCAACAGCAACAGCAACAACAGCAGCTGCAAGCCCCATTGCAGCCCTCCCTGGCCCCCACCGCCTCCCAGGACCCTCCTGGCCTGTCTGAGAACACAAAGGAGGACATCGTCACCGAGCAGATAGATTTCTCGGCTGCTCGCAAGCAGTTCCAGCAAATGGAGAATTCCCGGCCCGCCCTGGCCAAGGGACAGAGCAACCCCAGGCTGTTCTCCATCAAGCCTTTTTACAGGCCCCTCCACTCAGAGAGGTCACTGACCACTGTGAGACCTGCGGCCAGCCGGGGTCCTCTGGAGGACGGTGGCTTAGTAGCCACCAAGGAGCAGAAAGCCCCCAGTGTCCCTGAGAGCCAGCTGGTGGGTGGAAGCCAGGCAGGTACAGCGCCTCAAGGCAAGGATGGACCATACAGCGAGCCCTCCAAGCGTGGACCCTTGTCCAAACTGTGGGCAGAGGACGGTGAGTTCACCAGTGCCCGGGCCGTCCTCACCGTGGTCAAAGACGACGAGCCTGGCATTTTGGATCAGTTTTCACGCTCAGTCAATGTTTCTTTGACCCAAGAAGAGCTCGACTCTGGTTTGGATGAGTTGTCGGTGCGGTCACAGGACACCACGGTCCTGGAGACGCTGTCCAATGACTTCAGCATGGACAACATCAGTGACAGTGGAGCCTCCAACGAGACAACCAGCGCCCTCCAGGAAAACTCCCTGGCTGATTTCTCTCTGCCCCAGACCCCACAGACTGACCCCACCTCCGAGGGCCGAGGTGAAGGGATCTCCAAGTCTTTCAGCGATCACGGGTTCTCCTCCCCTTCTTCCATGCTGGGGGACTCTCCGTCCGTGGAGGACCCCTTGGAATACCAGGCTGGCCTGCTGGTGCAAAGTGCCATTCAGCATGCCATCGCTGAGCAGGCAGAGAAGGCGGCGGGCAAAACCAGCCCCAGTGGAGCTGCCCCCCGGGGACCAGAGGTGACCCTGGAGGCAGCTGACAGGGAAGCTTCCAGCTCAGAGAAGCCTCGGGCCATGTTTGAGCCACCTCAGGTGTCCTCTCCCGTTCAAGAGAAGAGGGATGTATTACCAAAGATCCTGCCTGCAGAAGACAGGGTGCTCAGGGAACCAGGGCCACCCCAGCCGCCTCCCGCTGTGCAGCCCAGCGGCCCCATCAACATGGAGGAGACCAGGCCGGAAGGCAGCTATTTCAGCAAGTACTCGGAGGCGGCCGAGCTGCGAAGCACAGCCTCCCTCCTGGCCACCCAAGAGTCTGATGTGATGGTGGGGCCCTTCAAGCTGAGGTCCCGGAAGCAGCGGACTTTGTCCATGATTGAGGAAGAGATCCGAGCGGCCCAGGAAAGGGAAGAGGAGCTGAAGCGGCAGAGGCAGGTCCTGCAGAGCACACAGAGCCCCAGGGCCAAGAACGCACCCTCACTGCCCTCCCGAGCAACCAGCTACAAAACCGCCCCAGGTAAGAGACGGCCAGACCCCCAGATGCAGGCCTGTGATTCCTGAGCCAATTGATCCTGGCTGCTGGGTTTTGATGTGGAGGGGTGTGTGTGTGTGTGTGTGTGTGTATGTGTGTGTGTGTGTGTGTGTGTGTATGAGAGAGAGAGAGAAAGAGGGAGACACTGGCATGAGGAAGGATTTGGGCCTCTGGGACAACAGTGGAAGAGCCAGGAGCATGGATGGAGTGTGCCACATGAGAGCAGATCCAGTCGCTTTCTGTCGTGCTGCTGTGAAATTGTCCTCTTTGGTTTGAAGGGGCCGCCTCTTGCTGAGAGGCTGGGAGTGACACAGAACCCAGGCAGTGTTTGAGTCAATGGCATGACCCTTCTTTTCTGGGGTTAAATTAAATACATCTGATTGAGGGGTTGTGTTCCAGTGACCCCTACAGAATCCTGGGCTCCATGTTGCAGATAGGTGTGGACAGGATGCTTTTATCCACACCAGCACGTGTGGTGTCCTCTGAGACACCACAAAGCAGTTGCAGTCTTGTGCTGTGTAATCGTGTTTGGGTCAACAGCTGATGTCTCCCACAGTTGGTCCTGTGTTGTATCACCCGGTGATGTCATAACTGTCTTGGTTTGTGTAAGACCACACTGTGATGTTTGGACAATGGTGAAATTGCCTGATGATGTTTGTCAGAACTTATCCCTTTGTGCACTGAGGTGTTAACCTTGTTTTGGATTATGGTAACACACCCCACTATGGCCTGGGCAGCCCCTTGGTTGAATAATTTGTGCAAGGTGATTGAGGTTAATTAGAGTGTGGTCCTGACCAGTCGGTGAGTCTTTGTCACTAGGCCCTGCTGAGCTAAGGACAGACTTGAGAGGAGAAAACTCTCTTAGCAATTTGGTCTTGGCCTGTAATCCAAGTGTGGGATTTTTGTATTTTACAAAAGCGCTGGTGTACACTGTCCTGGGAAGGGGTGGGGCGTCTGACCCTTCACTAGTGTCACCCCACAGTTTATGCTGGCAGCATCTAAGTTGTTCCGTCTAGAACTTCTCATCCTGGCGCTCCGTTTCCATCGAGTCTGCAATGACCTTTTTCTTATTAGCTTTTAAATTTTGAAACAATTTCAAATGTAAAGGCGAGGACCCATGTATAGTACAAATATTTCTGTTCTGAGCCATTTGAGGGAAAATGGCCATTAGCATTTGCCTTCATCCCCCGTTTTGCTAGATCTTCTTTAGTGCATTCTGTCTGATGCTTTCACGGGATTCTGTCGAGGTCATGGGGCTAAGGTGGGAGCACTTGCACAACGAATGCCATGTGCACCCTGCGCCTGTACCCAGGAGTCAGCTTGTCTCAATGGGGCCAACGGTTAACTCTGCTCACCTATTGGAGGGAGCGTCTGCTGGACACACCTATTTTTCCCTTATGTCAGAACATAAATGTCTAGTAGATTCCATAGTGGATTCTATTGTATTCAATGGATACCGATCAATTTCTTGTATTTTTATCCTTGATTTGTTCGGATTGATGATGTCCTTGATTTGTTCGGATTGATGATGTCCTTGATTTGATCTTGACTTGTTGTGGGAGCCCTTTTAAGTTAACCTCTGTGTTCTTATAGAGATGTTCTCATTGCTTTTGGAGCATTTCCCCAGCTGCCTGACATCGCAAGATTTTCTACTTTCACCTTGTTCTCACAACCCTGAAAAAAGCCATTTCTCTAAAAGTCGTTAGTTCCTTGGGATGGAGAACGGTGTTAGAAACCAAAGTTGGCTTCCAGATAGGGCTCTTGATGTCAGATTGACTGACTAGTTTTTCCCAAAGGTGCCTAGTTGTCACTTCGCTTTAAATTCCTTGTTGTAGGCCAGCTTGGCACAGAGATACCAAGGGAGCTTCCCGTTCTGCAAAGAAGTCTTTGTACTACATGATGTCAGCACCAGCTGGGGAACCCAGTTGACAGCTCAGCATGCCCCTGGGAGCCTACAATCTCACTACTAGAGGTGGGGAGCTCTGTGGGCTTCTCGACTCCTGCTGCTTGCATGGAAGGCAGGTCCTGGTTAGTGCCAGCTTCTCTCACCTACCAACCCTCTGCACTGTCATTATAGAACCTGCCGTGAAGTGCAAGGCTTAGTGGATCTCTTGGGCACTTCAGGCTCCCAGAATAGGTGACTTACAGACAGGCTGAGAAGTCCGAGGTCGTGGTGTTAGCCAGTTGGTCTGGCGAGTGCCATATCCTTGTTCCCAGATGACCCCTGTGTGTGGTGGCCTCACCTGGGGAAGAAAACCACTCCCTTTGCTTTTATTTTGTAAGGGCACTGATCCCATTCCCAAGGGTCAGCCTTCATACCCTGATTACAAAGTATGTTCCCCCCACATCCTAATATCAGTGACCAAGTTTCAACATAGGAATTTTGGGAGGATACATTCAGACCATAGAAGTGGATTTTTAGTTTTTGTTCTGTATTTTTCCATCCTACCTTCCCCCCGAATTTGTTTCTAACACATTTTTCTAACGTAAAGACATATTGATAGTTTCCTCTAAGTCCTCTGCCCACTCAGAGTTACCTTAAACAACTCTTGGTCCTAATGTCTTCCCCTGAGGTCCGAGGAATCTGGTGCTAATTTTCCCAGAACTTGCCTCTCTGTTAGTACTGGTCTCATTCCCCCTTGGGGTTGCTATCTCTTCTTTTGGGGAGGTGGTAATTTATCTGCCTCTATCTACCCTCTTGTTCTTGCGTGGTTCCTGTTGAATAGTCAGGGTGAAAAGATATGTGCATCTCATTCCTTCATATTTACCTCTAGAACATTTGAAGAATTACAACATGGATCAAAATACATTGGATGTAAAAAAAAAAAAGTTTGTTGTTGTTGTTGTTGTTGTTGGCTGTCCATGCCTGAGAATGTTTGCAGCACCGTTTCACCAGCTGGCCTCTGAGTTCATGGTCAGGGAGCAGTTGGACACAGTAGTCTGAGCAGGCTAACCGGATGATTCACAGCGAGGGTCAGGACTGCTGCTCTGACGTTGAATGTTGCTAAGTTCCTGCTTGCACTGCTTCACATGTTATACCAGAAGTGACTCAGCCATGCGACTCAGATTGATGATTTGTGATTAGGTGATGAAAAATGTGGTTTGTAACTTGTGTGGTAGAAATCCATGTCGACATGCTAGAATCCTAAAAGCTTACAGCAAATAATACTCATTGAGAACCTGGATAGGATAAGAAAGGTGAAAGCTATTTCAGTGGCATTTCTTTCCATTGAAAATGTAATCAGGCACAAGCTCCCTAAAGATATTTGGTTTTGCTGTTGGTTTCTTTGTCTTTAAAAGATATAGAATGATAGGGGTTCTGCTTTGAAAAGGATATAGGATATCTGGAAATTGTATCTTGTTTGTTCATAACTTGACTTTTAAAGGGAGAAGGTGCACTTCAATAGAACTTGAGTGACATTTGTTCATACAGAGCAGAGCAGGTGTACCGTGCCAGCTATCAGGCAGCTCCTGGCTTAATGAGAGCAACAACACTGCATGAACTTGGAGATTTCATGACAGAGCAGCCCTGAGGACTGCCGGACATCTTCCTTTCTTGGGAAGCTACCATCCAAATTGAGAACTGAGGGAGCAGAAGTGGGACCAAGGAGATGGGGAAAGATTGTTCTTGTCTGAAGGAATGGCACAGGAAGAGGCTCAGCGGGAATAGAGAACTTGACACAGCTGAGGCCAGAGTCAATTAAAGGAAGAGATGTACAAGAAGCGAAAGCACACGTTGGTTGGGAGTCAGGCAGCCAAGAGCGCTGCCAGTCGTGTCGAGGGGTTTAGACTTTGGACTTTTCATCCTGTGGTCAGTGGGAAGCCACATTTCCCAGCCATCCTGCTGTCATCCAGGACGGATGGACTGGAAGCCTTCCTGCTTCAATAAGCCCATTGTGCAGGCTTGGATTAACTCCTTCCTCTCCGTACCAGTACTTCAGAAAGAATGTCAGCTTCTATTGCTAGTTTGGATTAAGATTCCACACAGGGTGATCAGTGTAGCATAAATATTTTTTCAAAGATTTATTTTATTTTTATTGGAAAGTCAGATATGCACAGAGGAGGAGAGACAGAGAGGCAGATCTTCTGTCTGATGGTTCACTCTCCAAGCGGCCACAACAGCCAGTGCTGCACTGACCCGAAGCCAGGAGCCTGGAGCCTCTTCCAGGTCTCCCACGTGGGTGCAGGGTCCCAAGACTTTGGGCCATCCTTGACTGCTTTCCCAGGCTACAAGGCCAGAGCTGGATGAGAACCAGGGCTGCTGGGATTAGAACCGGTGCCCATATGGGTTCCCAGCATGTGTAAAGTGAGAACTTTGGCTGCTAGGCTACCGTGCCAGGCCCCAGCATAAAATTTTTGATGAGGTTCCTTCTTTTTAAATCCCCTTCATGATCTCCAAGTATCACACACACACACACACACAAAAAAGTCCCAGAAGGAACAGCAAGTGCAGCAGCAGCACTGTGTTCACGAAGCAGAGGCCATGACTTGTCTAAGGCCGAGGTAGACAGCCAAGGCTGGGTTTGGCTTGAGGTGCTCTGCCCTGTGTCAACAACTGACAGAAGGATTCTGCTGTGGGCTGGGCAGGAGAGGACCCTCTGGCAGGCTGTCTGTTCACTCTCTTTCCCTACTTCACAGGCTCTGGATGAGCTGCTCCCCACGGATCAGCTGGCGGTGGGAAACCTGTTAAAGCCCAATGGAGGGCATCCTACTGACGGTTACTGTCCAGCGCCATATTTCCAGACCATTGTCTGGTGATACAAGTCTATTACTGATGGCTCTGACTTGTTAAACAACAACAACAACAACAACAAAATAAAACTAAAAAACCACCACAGCAGAATAGACAGCAATAGTTATTTCACACATCTCTTCTTATTTTCTTGTGTCAACCTCTCAGGCAGCCCTTAAGACTCAGTACAAATTTATTTGATCCCTTGAAACTAGATGTATTTCTGGATTCAGACATTTTCTAATTTTAGAAG